ATATCAGCCACACATAATTCAACTGCTCTCTCCAGCTAGCAGTGTAGGAAACAGACAGAAGCCCAGCAGAAGTTATTTTTTACCTGGAGTTACAGAACTAGAGGAGCCCCCAGATAAGAAGAGTGGCCATTATTATCATGATAATGAGCGGCACCTTCGCCGGCGCGGGCGCACCCGCTGCCTTCTCGGGCGCCCCCGCTGCCTTGTCGAACGTCTCGAACGTCAGCACGCCGCCGCCGTCACTGTGGATCTCGTAGGTCATTTTCCTGCCCGCCTGGAGCATGCTGCCGAGGACCGAGCCCTGCACGTGCTCGGTCGACGGCATTATGGTGAGGCACGTGTTCCCGTCGTCATAGGCTAAGAAGTAGTTCTCCACCTTAGCTCCATGGCCGCGTCAGCGCCGTCGAACAGGAGCGCCAGCGTTGGAACCTTGGTGTTGGCAAAGTCCTCCGTGAGGAAGCACAGCTTCCCACCATCGTCGTCTGAGGCCTTCACCGGAGCCACGCCCTCGGACTGGACCCTGCTCATGAGCTCCTGCCTCACGACCCTGTACGCGTCCTCCACAAGGTAAGTGACAGGAAGGAAGGTGCTGAGAGACACCCCGCCGGAACGCGGGATGTCAAAGGTCCCCGCCGGGATGGCGGTCAGGAGCTTGTCGTCGACCTGCACACCGGTGAGATTGACGTAGTACCAGTAAGGGTTTTGTAGGTTTTTGGTTTTTGTGGCGGCCAACAGTGGCGTGCTGCTCGTGCCCCTGCTCCCCGTAGTCGTACTCGTCGCCTGCCCCGCGGCCACGGTGGCATCATCGTCGGTGGCGCCGCCCCAGCTCCAGCTGACGAAGCTCTTCCCGCCGGCGTCATCGGGAGGCGCGATAAAGTAGGTGAAGCTGGAGATGTTGAGCTGCGACACGAGGGACAGGGGCCCCCTGCTGAAGCCGGCGAAGCCAGAGACGCCATCGAGCTCTGGCAAAGTGATGTCGCCGCTGCAGCCAAACACCATGCCCGGTACGTCCGTACGTCCCGGTCCGGTGACGTTCCCGAAGGTGAACGTATCGGTGGCGAGGAAGCCGGACATATAGCCCGTTCTATACCTGCAGATGTCGTCGCCGGTGCAGTTGTGGTAGCTCATGCGCTCGCAAGTTTGGGTGGCGCAGCCGACCTCCATGAAGGATTTGGAGTCCGCGGGACGGAACGTGGGCGTCGGCGGCGGCGAGAGCGTTTGGCACGAGGGGCAGGGTTCGCACTGCGCCCAGGTGAGGTCGCTGTTGATGTCCATGATGACAGGGAGGGTCTGCTGCGGCGAGCTCCCGACGGAGAGGTCGAAGATGAAGGGGCGGTAGCTCTCCCCCGCCGCGCTGCCCGTCGGCTGACCGTCCTTGCGCTGGCCGAGGCGCCGCTGCACCCTCTCTTCCATGTCATCCTTGACGGACTTGTTGGTGACGAACTTGCCGGTCTTGGGAAATGGTCCGACGGCGGCCGATGAGACAGGCGCCCAAGCCAGAGGAAGGAGAAGAAGAAAAAGAAGTGAAGCTCCCATTGCTGCTCTCACTGCCACGGCCATGCCTGTATATCTCTACACTGTATATACCTACACAAACTAGCTACTCCTATTTATACAAGGTATACTGGCTAGCTACCTAGTGGATGTCGCCCAGGCATAAACTATCGGCATATCAATACATATTATACTACTCTCTCCTTTTCTAAATATAACTCTTTTTAAAGATGTTCAATTAATAAAGACTGCATACAGACGTATATTAGTATATAGATATATTTTAGAGTGTAGATCCATTCATTTTGCTCCATATGTAGTCGGCATTTGAATCTGAAGAAAAACATATATGTAGGAATGTCTAGTGGGCACTCGACTGAATTGAGTTTTTGGTTAGTCAATTTTTCATCGTCGTAGGATAGAAAAGGAACAGTCGGGTCTCCATCTTCTACCTGGTGAAAATCTGTTCGTCGTCTTCCTCGTGATCTGATCTTGATCTTGATCTTGTATCCAAATTAACTATGCATTAATTGCGCATTGTGGACACTGAAATGTGACGAGGAAAGCGACGGAGGAAACAACTTGTGTGTTTGTCGGTATGGCAGCAGCATGCGTAGGTAGGACCGTACGTACGGGAACCATGGCCTTGTACTAAACGTGGCTTTGTTGGACAGCAACGAAAGTGTCCCTACGCATGCATGCAGGTCGTTGGGATACAAAAACCTAGACAGCATACACAAACCAAGACATTGTAAATATCACCGGGAGCCATTGTAAAATTTTTGGGATAATCACGGTGGGGACTATTAGCACTAGTAGAAAACAGGTCTTTCGTTCGGGTCTGGCCAGCCCATTAGTCTCGGTTCAGTCAAGAACCGGGACCTATGGGGGCATTCGTCCCGGTTCGTGAGCCCAGGGGGCCGGCCGGGGCCTCGTGGGCATTGACCCCGGTTCGTATGGACCCATTTGTCCCGGTTCCTGGCACGAACCGGGACCAATGGTCCTCGCTCCTGGCCCACAACCATTGGTCCCGGTTCGTGGCTTGAACCGGGACAGAATGCTGAGCTTTAGTCCTGGTTTCTATCACGAACCGAAACAAATGAGTTGCCTATATATACCCCATGGCCACAATAGAGCACTCCGCAATGCTCTGTTTTTTCTGGCCGGCGAGCGGAGGGCGTTTGGGTGCTCTAGCTCACCTCCTATGCACATGAGGTGTTCGATGAAATATCCGAGCCATGCTAGTTAATCGTTCTCCTCTCGAAACTCGACCTTCGAGCTCCATTTTCGCCGAGATTTGTCTAGGTTTAGCGGTCCGTCACGTCCTGTCCCCGTCTTCGCCGCCGTCGATCGCCCGCGCCGATCTCGACGCCGGCACCACCGTGGTGAGCCTCTTGTTCTTATCTTCTTTCTGAAAGAAAAAAAATTATTACTTCAGATAGATACTTGTCAAATTTTCTTACATTTATTATTTCTTGTTATTATATAGTGCGATAGTTTTTGTATCCGCCCCCGTCGGCCCTCGTCCTGTCTATGATTCGGATGTGGTATATATTATCTTTTGATAACTATTTGGTTCATTTATTGTTTATAACAATTATGCCGACCAACGTGACATAGATTTTATTTATCTAGGTGGTGGTTGAACCAAAAATTCCAACCGACCCTATTGTCGACAGGTTAAATTTAGTTGAAGAATAAAACAATTACTTGAAGGAAAAAATAAGAAAAATTGAGGAGGAGGAGATGATATTGGAGTTGCATGTTGCGGATGTCGTCGATGATCACAAGATCAAGATGGATGCAATGCGGTTGAAGATTAGAAAGATTAGAAAATATGCCATTCATACCGAGGCTTGATATCATTATGCAGTTGGATCAGTTGTTACCTTGGTTGCGATTATGATCGCATTTGTTTTTTGCATTTAAATGTTTTACATAATTTCAATGTCTGATTTAATTAGATGCTCCGGAGAGCTATATGTTGCACATGCTATGTGGGTGAAATCTCTTTGTAACAGACGAGTTTCCGTATGAAACCCTGATACTTCGAAAGAGATTGTTTGTTTTATACATGAAGTGCATCCAGTTTTTGCCGTAACCCTCTCTACTTTATCGTACATGCTATGTGGGTGAAATGATGATACCTTGCCAACTTGGAACCTTTTCAGAGTTCATTTCAAATGATTTTCAATTTCATGGTCTTATAACTCAAAATAATCAGTAAATGCATGAAAAATAACAAATAAAATCAAAAAGAGTTGTAAATTGATGATGTGGCTTTGAATGGTGCATTTTGAACACAGAAAAACTATGAAGTTCAAATAAGTTCAAAAAAAGAAATCTCTTTGTAACAGACGAGTTTCCATATGAACCCTGATACTTCAAAAGAGATTGTCCGTTTTGTACACGAAGTGTATCCAATTTTTATCGTAACCCTCTGTACTTTCTCGCATATGCTATGTGGGTGAAATGATGATACCATGCCAACTTGAAACCTTTCCAGAGTTCATTTCAAATGCTTTTCAATTTCATGGTCTTATAGCTCAAAATAATCAGTAAATGCATGAAAAATAACAAATGAAGTCAGAAACAAAATAAAATAATTAATTAATTTGAAACAAAATAATATAAAATTTAATAAAATAGATAAGTAGAAACAAAAAAAACTTTAATAACATAAATAAAATTTATGAAACTAAAATTATTAAAGTATTTTCTGTTCAAAACATTATAAGCAACCTCTAGTATTATTGAAACTAAAATTATATAAAATTGATGCAACTAAAATTATCAAAGTATTATCTATTCAAAATCATTAAAAGCAAAAAGAATTTTCATAAAGAACTTTTTTTGTTAGAAACTTTAATAGCAAAAAGAATTATCATAAAATAAAATTCATAAGTAATTATAAACAAAATAAAATAAGATAAATAAGTATTTTGTTGTAAGTAGAAAAAAATAAAGCAAAAAGAAAACAAAAAAACTGGGAAAAAATAAAAAAATTGCCAGCAACTGGGCCACCACGGCCTGAATACGACTAGAAACCCATCCATGGGCCAGGATTCAGGCCCGCAGAAGGCACGATATGGTTTCTGTTGCACCCGCATGTCTTACAACAAATACCATGTTGCAGACGGGTCAATCAGGGGCACATAACGTGTGGACAATATTTCGCGTACGATCCACCGGTTGACGGGAAGAGTTTTTGTAACAAAACAAGTCTTCTTTCAAGCAGATATAAAGTTAACAAAGTGAACCCCGCGAAAAGAAAAGTTAACAAAGCGAAGAGTTTTCCTTCCCCATAACGGCAATATTGTACTTGCGATGAGATTGTTTCATTTCCTACAATGCGCATAACAAGGCGGTAATAATGCGCATGAAGTATCCTACAACTAGTACATAGCATAGCTGATTTATTCAGGTGTTGTCCACGACTAATCATCACCAAATTAACTCTTGCATGGAATCAATGATAGTATTCCAGCGAACACTACTAGTAGTCATCAGAGCGTGGCGATGTACGCGTTGGCGAGCATCTTGCCGAGCCGGACCTGCGCCTGTGTGGTGAGGTGCGTGATGTCGTTGGCAAGGGGGAGACCCATGGCGTCCACGTACTTGAGGTTCGGCAGCCGCACTGCCCTCTGCTGCTTCCTCACCAGGTCCAGCCACTTCCCCTGCTTCTGCGCCGTCGCGATCCCAACCTACAGCAAGATCATGGATGTTTTTGCTCACACGGTTCGTTCACAGTGGAGATTAATGGAGCCGGAGCAGGGACCCATGCATGGATTTAGTGTAGCGACGAACCTGGATGACGAGGAGGTTGGGCATGGCGAGGTCCCGGCGGACGTCCCGGACGAAGGCCTCCATCCTCCCGGTGTAGGCCAGTGCGTCCTCACGCCGCATGGCGTCGGCCTCCCCCTGGAACCACAGCAAGGCGGCGATCCTGCCGGTCCCTGCGCCGGCGACGCGGGCACGGGTCACCATCCGCTCGTACATCTCGGAGCCGCGGGACCAGTTGGTGATGGGCGTGCCGCCCTGCGCGCAGGGAACGAGGCCCACGATGGCGCCCCTGGGGCAGGCAGATGAACGGAGCAGCGCGTCGGCGAACGGCATCCCGGGGCCGACGCCCACCACGTTGCCGACATCCACGCCGGCGTGCAGCGGCTCGTGGGCCTCCTCCCAGCGGAGGGACGGGGAGAGGCGCAGCGTGCGCGGGGACGGCGCGCACTCGGGCGGCACCACGCGGTCCCAATGGTTGCCCACCGTGGCGCCGCCCCGGCCCCCCATGTTGGACTGCCCCGCGAGGATGAACACCAGCGTAGGCGCCCTCTCCGCGCTCACCGTCACGACCGCCGCAAGCAGCAGCAGAATGGGTAGTGCTCGCTTGAGCATCGTCGCCGCCGCTGGCTCCATGTCCCGGCAAGGTCCAAGGTCCTAGCTCGCTGCTCAATGGCTGCCACTGATTCGCGGACTCGCAGTACTGATGCCTGGAACGCATCGTTGGGAGTGGATATATAAATCAATAATCCTACATCTACGTACAGCAGACGAAGACTAACGTAAACTGCCTAACTAATTAACTTCGCCCCCCCTGATTTTCAGGTGGGTGGGGCCCCTTCCTTCCCCTTCTCCAATACTAATTAGCCACGTTGCACTTTACGTAAAATACGTAACATTATTTACGTAAGTGTAGCATTGCTCTATATAAATACGGAACGCTCGATTCGCCTTTGTTTTTCTTGTCTGGGAGAGAGAGTGGTAGTGGATCGCATGTGTGTTTGTCACGGGTAAGCGCGCTTCACTCGAAACAGGCGTCAAATGAGCTGTATGCCTGTCTCAAGTTGGACTGCACTGCACAGCATCACAAGACTAGCACGGGTAAGCGCGTTTTCATTTACTCCGCATATTAGTTTTGGTCAAAGTTAAGTTTTGTAAACTTTAAAAAAAATATAGACAAAAATATTAACGTATACAATAACAAATCAATACCATTAAATTTATTATGAAATATATACTTTCACATCATATAGGTTTTCTATGGTTGCAGCTCCTCTCACGCTGGTCGCAACCCCTGATTTCTTTGGTTCCAGCAAAATTAGGCGTCAGTCGTAGTATTTGACGGTGCTGGTTGCAGCTCCACTGTGTGCAGGTTGTAACCCTACTTTATCTGATTCCAGTAATAAATGGCAACGGCAGCAGTACATGGCTCACTTGCTGCAACTCTCTTGCGTGCCGGTCACAATTTTGCTGTACTCGGTCGTATCATCCCATGCAGCACGTCGCTGCCTCGCAAACTTTCATCGGGATACCGCGCCCACAGTTGCAGGGTCTGGTCCCAGCATTTGCGGCAGCCGGTTCCAGCACGTACGGTGCCCCGTTCTAGCATCCCTGCGGTGGTCGATTCTAGCAACGGTAGCACACGCGGTGGCCCCGCATTCCGCCATCGCACCTCATGATCACCGTGCACGTGGTCATGGCCGTTGAAGCACGCAAAGGCTGCGGTTGCAGCACTGGCTGTCACTCGTCGTAGCATCTTTGATGTTCGTCGACGTAGATAGCATGATCGTCGTAGCGGACTAGTTGCCATGGCCGTGGCAACCGAACAACAACGATTTGAGGCGCGCGGGGAAGAGGGGTGCTTGCAGTAGCAGGGTGTCGGTGTCAAAACCGGCGGATCTCGGGTAGGGGGTCCCGAACTGTGCGTCTTAGGATCAATGGTAACAGGAGGCAAGGGACACAATGTTTACCCAGGTTCGGGCCCTCTTGATGGAGGTAAAACCCTACGTCCTGCTTGATTGATATTGATGATGTGGGTATTACAAGAGTTGATCTACCACGAGATCAGAGAGGCTAAACCCTAGAAGCTAGCCTATGGTATGATTGTTGTTGTATATATCTATCGACTAGCCTGTCCTCGGTTTATATAATGCACCAAAGGCCTAGGATAACAAGAGTCCTAGCCGAATACGCCGGTGGGGGAGGAGTCCTTGTCTTGATCGCCAAGTCTTGTGGAATCTTCCTTGTATGCGGCAACTGTCCGGACTGGCCCATGAGTATACGGCCATGGGGATCCTCGGCCCAATCCAACTGATCGGGAGACGACGTGGTGAGTACCCCCTAGTCCAGGACACCGTCAGTAGCCCCCTGAACCGGTCTTCAAGTTGGGGACGCTCCTCAATTCTTCCGAACTGTTCTTCATCTTCGGTCGTCGGTCTTGAAAACTGGTTCAACAAATCTTCTCATCTTCGTTCTTGAGGATCGCCGAAATGCATTCGACGAGTTTACACGCCGGGTATCCGAGGAGCCCCTTTAAGTTTCCGGCCTTTATCAATGCCTTGTTATTTTTATGTCACACCTCGGGTTTGAAGTTGTTCCCGAGCGGCAACGTCCTCTTGCGTCCGAGCTCCAACGCCGGACTGCATTCGAGGTATCTTTTGCAGCCGAGCACCAATGCCGGACTGCTTCCCAGCTCTAACGCCGGACTATGTATCCGAGCTCCAACGCCGGACGGTATCCGAGCTCCAACGCCAGACTATGTATCCGAGCTCCAACGCCGGACTGTATCCGAGGTGTCGTAAATCACCTTGGTTCAAAGAAGTTTGAAGGAGTTTAGCCGAGCTTAATGCCGGAAATGCCCTCTATGGAGCCAGCCACTAGCGCCCGAGCTTTACGTCGGACTGCTTCTGAGGTGGTGCACCACCCCGAATGTGGGCCGATTTTTGTCAATATTTTTGATTGGTGCTAGTAGCCCTCAAGGTGAGTATCGATCTAAAACCCGAGATGCACATGAAGGATGACATAAGACCGCTGATCCCCGTAGCCGCTGAGACTCATGTTGATTTGCAAAATCGGTCTGAGGATCAAGTCCTAGCTCGGCAGAATACTTCGGGACACAAAAAGCGGCGTGCTCAGTCCTCGAGACTCAGGTTGGGTGCGGCCGACCAACTGAGGATCAAAATCTCCTCGAAAACTGTATTGCACTTAAAATTTTCTGCATAGAACAGGCAATGCAGTAGCCCCCGAGACACTGGTCGGGTGGCAACACCAGATCAGGGGATCGATGTGCCCCTTTAATATTTGTAAATAATAAGCCTGAAGCCCAGTAGCCCCCGAGCCTTAATGCGGGCACGGGAGGCCGAATTAAGGATCGATATCCATAGTAAAATCACAAATTATGTGCAATGACTCTATGTATCCAAGTACTTTACGTCATTAATGCTCGGATCCGCATTGTACAAAACTTTGTTGACCGACCATCGGCTTCCACCTCCTCGGCCAATAGCCGAGGAGTGTTTGTCCTTACTTTATAAAGCCTTTATGAGGGCAAAGATTTACAACAAACAAGGCAATCTGGCCATACGGTTTTATAAACAAAGGTATGCAGAGAGACATGTTATATTACTGTTTAACAGAAGAAATGTCTTCCAAAGAAAATAGTCCCGCTATCGGTTCCTTTCTTTGGATTGTCATGCTAAGCATGATCATGAAACCTCAGCTCCAATGTAAGAGCAAAGTATCGAGGATTTAGTTTGGGAGGCCAGTTAATAGCCCCCGGTAGTGTTCGGCGACAGTCGAGGTCAAGCCGTAAACACTTCGGCCATTGTTATGAATGGCCCGTTGTTTAACGCCGTGATCAGATCGCCGACCAGTTTACGCTTATTGTGACAGTCAGTTTTCGGCTTTCTCCACTGAGGTGCTTAACCATGTGAGCTGGAAGCACAATCGCAGTGGTTCTCCCTTTGTACACCTAGCTGAACAATGCAGAACATAGGAGGCAAGCGCAGGAGCCGGGCAACCCAACTATTGACCGAAGATACAATTCGAAACCGATGCATATATAGCAATATCCGAGAATGTTTTTGCCGAATCTCTAAAGGTGTCCGGCGTTGCACTGCGAGACTTGTGCTGAAAACACACAAATAGTTTAAAAGTGCCATGGGCTCGAAAAGCCAAAAAATATATTCAAAAGGTTAATGTCCAAACTAGATCAAATGTTCGGTGCCAATCCGAAAATTGGACTTTAGAGAAAAAGAAGGTGCTTTTGCCGTGCTTTAACATGACACATCATATCTCAAAACTTCAAGCGGGTCAGCCTACGGCTTACTAGGCCAGTTTAGCAAACTAAACTCCTAGCGGCTTTGAGAGAGAAATTAGGCTCCCCGGCTAGTGACCGCACACTTGTGTCGAAAAAAGGAGTGATAAATAATAAAAACTTTGCAACGACTGAGAAGAAAAACACTTATCATAAAACGGCTCATATAAATTTAAGAGCCCCCAAGTGACTTGGATAAAAGAATGATTGCATGTACCGAAGTACTTATATCATATCTATGTTCAACCGAACTTTAAACGCGTCTTAACCGACCGTCGGCTTCTCCCTCTTCGGTCAAGGACCGAAAAGTGTTATGTACTCCATCTGTCGAGAATATCGACAGTGTTTCCAATAATCAGGCAATCAGGCCATAAGGCTGTAACAGACAAAGCGCGCTTAGGGAACTTATGCTATATTACTGCGAAGAGTAAGAAGCATCTTCGAAGAAAATAGTACCCCCACCGATACCTTTCTTCGGTGCTCATTGTTATTATGAGACTTGTGCAATAGATTTTTTGTACTCATGAGCTCCGTTGTGTGCCGACCATGATTGAAAACAATAAGAGCGCTAGCTTTCGACTTCACCCAGTCTGAGGTCCGGCTCGGTTGACCCAATCGTGACAATCGCAGAGGTGCTCCCTTTACTCCCTAGCCGAACAATCGGGAACGTAGGGGTAAGCACAGGAGCCAGGAAATCCAGCTTGCAAATCGCTTAAGTCAATATGGTGCATATTGCGGCGTAATACACGAACAAGGAACGAAGCCGTACAAGTATAACCATATGCAAGAGGAAAAAGCTTCATGAAGGAAGCCCCCAAGTAAACAGGGTATTTGAATTTGTGCGTCACAAACAAAGTTTGGACAAGGAAATTTTTACAAGCAACTTTTTTCCAAAGCTTGATCGAGCCGAACACAAGTTAAAAATTTAAAAGTTTGAGCATGAAGGCAACTGCTGGTTAATGTGTTCGGTATTGATGACGCGGTCCGAGCTTGATGAGGGACAAGGTTCCATCCCCCAAGCCGGTACCGAGGTGGCGAAGCAAAGAGCTCGGCACTCCGAAGTGGTGACATAGCACGGTCAATGCAGGACGACAGGGTGATGCCGAAGTCCCCGGCATGGGGTAATGAAGTGTTGACGAAGCCCCCCGTCCAGCCGAGGTGACGCCAAAGGATATAGTCCGGCTGGATCATTTTCCTGTGCACAAAAAATAGTGCAAACCGGAGATAATACTAATAAAAAAATTCGTTGCATAACAAATAATTTATGCAGAGTGAGTAATAAAAGAGATATGGCATGGCGCCGAAGTCAATGTTGATGCAG